GGAGTGGGGAGGGAATGGAGATTTTACAGTGTCCTTCCCCTGGAGTGGGGAGGGAATGGAGATTTTACAGTGTCCTTCCCCTGGAGTGGGGAAGGAATGGAGATTTTGCAGTATCCTTCCCTTGCCACGCCCACCAAGCCACGCCCACCAAGCCACATCCACAGAACCGGTAGTAAAAGATTTTGAATCCCGCCACTGACTTGCATAATAGATTAGCAGGTGAAACAATCCAGGATGATGAAGTCATACATTCTGAGCAGCTGCTATCTATAATCACTAGATACAGCCTTCTGATCATAACTTCCATAATAACATTGGATATCTGTCTACTTTAGGTATGCAGTGCAATTCAGAATCAAGACTATACCGTAATTGATGATTACTGCACAGGGCTAAAGGCTCTGCTATATCTGGAAAGCCTTGAGGAACTTCAAGACTGGGAAGGACAGAGCCCGCCAAGCATACAGCATCAAAAAGGAAAACCTGTACCCAAAATTTCCGAGTTGATTGGAAAGGTAGGATAATGGTTGCCTTTGGTTTCTTGCTTTGTTTCTTAATATTTAGTTGCAAAAATGTGTTATGTTATATTATATCATGGTGTAGACCAGAGGTAGGTTGCTCCCAGTTTGGCCTGGATCAAGTGAACCGGTTGTAGCAGCAGCGGGAGGCTCCACCCACCCGCCCCGACACTTCTGCACATGCGCAGAAGCATCGCGCACACAAGCTCACATGGGAGCACACCCTAACCGGTGGTAGCAAAATTGGCAACCCACTTCTGGTGTAGACAATTCTTTTGTCTTTCCGAGGGAAGAAAACACAATGGTCACCATTTCAGCTATGTTTATCTCCTCCGTTGCCAAGTTAGACTCAACAAAAATGCCAGTGGTTGCAAAAAGGCTGCTGCTATGGGTCCAGTTATAAAAATCTCTTTTACTGGTATATGAGAAAAGTGATTGCCTAATCCCATTGAGCCTTACTCTGATTCCTGAAAAATAAATTTGTTTATTATTGTGATGTTCTGGATTTGGCTAGTATTTTGTGCAGACTTACTAAGTAATGTGAATCATTCATTTGTGTAATCATTCAGATCTTTAGAATAGGGGCAGGGAATACTGTTGGTGTGAAATGATTGTCGGTCTGCAGAAACAATCCAATGTGTGTTGAATATAGTACCTGTCTTTATGGAGACAGATCTTAAAGCAACCTAATTCTTGACAGTGTCTATGGAGATTCTCAGTCACCCAGGTCATGGGAATCCCAAAAGTGTTTTTTTCAAAAGGTAACGGGACTTTCTTTGTTTTTCCTTNAAAAATCCCCCTCGTTTTATTCAATCAATGTAAAATACAGTTAAGAGTTGCTGGGTTTTTTTGAAAAAAAAAATAAGTAAGAATAAACAGAAGGGATTCTCCCAGACCAGAATTCTTTTTGGGGGGAGCTTCATTACGGATCAGAATAAATCAAAAAGCAAATTTAAAATTCATCAATCATAATTACATAATAAAGACTGGGGAGGGAAAATAAGGCTTCATTTGAAGTTAAATCAATCCCAATCCAGCAGGGAAAATGTTTTTAAAGGTCTTCTGCTATGTTTTACTGCATAATGTGTTTGATTAGTGCCTGCCATAAAAATGAAATAAAATCAGGAAGAGTGGGGTTACGTCTGATGAAGCCGATGCCTTGTATTAAAATGGCTCACTCTGAAAAGGTGCTACCGGACTCCTAATTTTTAGGCTCCCATACAAAGGTAGTCCTTGAATTATCACCGTAATTGCACCCAAAATTTCTGTTGTTAAGTGAGACATTTGTTAAGTGAATTTTGCCCCATTGTATAACCTTTCTTGTAAGGGATGCGGTGGCTCAGTGGCTAAGATGCTGAGCTTGTCGATCAGAAAGGTCAGCAGTTCGGTGGTTCAAATCCCTAGTGCCATGTAATAGAGTGAGTGCCTGTTATTTGTCCCAACTTCTACCAACCTAGCAGTTTGAAAGCACATAAAAAATGCAAATAGAAACACAAGGACCACCTTTGTTGGAAAGATAACAGCATTCCGTGATCCTTTGGCATTTAGTCATGCCGGCCACATGACCATGGAGACGTCTTTGGACAGTGCTGGCTCTTCCGCTTCGAAACAGGCATGAGCCCTGCCCCTTAGAGCTGGAAACGACTAGCACATATGTGCGAGGGAAACCTTTACCTTTACCTATAATCTTTCTTGCCAGAGTAGTTAAGTGAATCACTTCAGTTGTTGAGCTAGTAACATGGTTCTAAAGTGAATCTGGCTTCCCCATTGACTTTGCTTGCCAGAAGGTTGCAAAAAGTGATCACATGACCTGAATTTTTATGACATGATCTAGGGGTGGGTTCCAGTAGGCACGACTGCCAGTTTGCTCGTGAGCGTGCTGCGTGCACATGCATAGTGCAATAAAAATGGTTCTGCATAGAAATGGAGAAACAGTTTGGGGGCGTGGCAGGCCTGGGTCGCTGCTGGTTCCAGCGACCCAGGCCGCCAAACCACTACCGGTTCAGCTGAACCGGTCCGAACCGGTAGGAACGCACCACTGACATGATCATGAGGATGCTGCAGGGTCGCAACTGTGAAAAATGGTCATAAGTCACTTTTTTCAGTGCCATTGAAGCTTTGAATGGCCACTCCATGAACTATTTGTAAGTCAAGGACTACCTGTATTAACACAGCTCTCCATTTGCAGCAGCTGGGAAAAAATGTATTTCAGCACTTTGGACAGCGGAAAAAATACTGAGAGAACTCTTCCTGTCGAAGGTGAAGTCAAAAACATGTTTAAGTTTGAAATTTGAACAAACAATGAACTCATACAGCAGGTGAAATGTCTTCAAGCGACTTCCTGCTGCATGCAGGAATCTAAACTAGAACAATTCTAAAGAGAAGACTGCATTATTCCATCTTGAGGAGTTCACCAGCACTGGAGGTTATTTGCTCCCTGATAGATGGAGTTTGAGCCATCAGGTCAGTGTCAACCCTTAGTAAGGAGACAGATTTTCTCCAGGATGAGAGCCAAGGTGGCGCAATGGTTAAAAGCAGCACTGCAGGCTACTGCTAGATCAGCAGGTCAGCGGTTCAAATCTCACCGGCTCAGGGTTGACTC